CCCAGACAAAGCCCGGCTCGTTTCTGTCCCGCGGTCTTCTCTGACTCCATCCACGAAGTGCTCGTTGAAGTGATGGATCCTGACTGGTGTGCAGATGTGGGGAGTCAGACGCCCGGCGCTGCTCTTCTTCTTAAAAACAAAAACCTCTCCGTGATTGAAAGCTTGTGATGATTCTGTTTGTGGCTCTACGACAGCAGATCGTTTTTCCTGCTGATAGCTTCACAAATGATTGTTAAAGGGAACACTGGAAACCCCCGGTGCACAAATCAAACAGCAGAAACACGTTCCTGCTCGCTGCCTTGTTTTCTCAGGAACACAGCCGCCTGCTTTTCATCTGTATTGTTTATTAATTCGGCCGGCTGCGGTGGAGCTTCCCTGTTTAGCATATCCTGGTGAAAATGTAAAAAAAGAGAAGGAGAAGTGGAGCATGCTCTTTGTTTTGCTGTATCTGGGCATTGTTCAGGCCCGATGACGAGGCGAGCGTCTCAGCATCACCTATTGTGCTGCAGCGTGTTCTCTGACAAAGACATCAGGCCGTGACTCACTGCTTCTCCTCCTGTTGGAATGAAAGCTGCTGCTGCTGCTGCTTTCACATGTACGACCATGTTTAACCTTCACAGGAGGGTTCAGCCGCATGAATTCAGCTCCTTCAACACCACTTTTGTGAGCAGCTATTCACTGCTGTGGACCAGTAATTCCCATGGAGAAACAGAAACTGTGGTTTGATGAAAAAACAACATATGAAGAGGGAAATAAAACAGCAAAATAGAATCACGTATTATGAGTAGAGTCACAACAGGCCGATACACAGGAATTAAAAACAGCAAGCTATGAATACATAATGACTGAGCACTTTAAATGATCAGCTAAATGTGTGAGTGTGCAGCTGAAATAGTAGCTACCATGAAAAATACTGGAAAAGTAGCGGCTAACTAGTTAGCTATAAACATGAACTATTGGTTGAAATAGTTACCTACATATTTAGTCAACCATGGAAATAGTCAAATAAAAATCATTTATTAGATATACAGACTATATTAAAATAGTGTAAAAGTGATTAACTGAAGGTAATGCAATATAATCAGTCAACTAAAAGCAATAAACAGTTTAAGCAAAAATAATTAGCGGCCTCAACTACAGTTAGTTAAAAATGAATCCCTAAAATATGAAATAGTTAATTAGTGTAATAGCTAAAGGGTCAAAAAAGCTCAAAAATTAATTTACAAAACTAACTAAACGGAATCGTTAAACAGCTAAACAGGTAGCTAGCTAAATGAACAATGTTAGCGTAGGTAGCTAATAGCTAAAAGCAATGGGTTTAAAACTGTTTTATATGTATCTAAATATTTATTTACAGTAAATAGTCAACAAAAAATGCTAACTGATGATAAACACTTAAAAGTAATAAACAAATAAAATAGTTTAGCTAAAAGCGATGGGTTTAAATAGTTAAATATTGTCAGCTAAAGGTGATACACATCCAGAATAGTCAAGTACAAATGACAAACTGTTAAACCTATTAGTTAAAGGTACCACTTTAAAGCAATAAATAAACCGCTAACAGCTAATGTAGCAGCTAAAAGGGCTAAGCTAGTTAAATGAATTTAAAAAATTAGCTAAAAGGAAACTGATATACAGCCAGATAGTTAGCTGGCTATGCATTGGAATTGTTAGCTTAGGCTAAAAGTACTTGGTTTAAAATAGTTTCTAAAAATGGAGCTTTGTCGTCTAAAAGTAAGAAACCGCTGAAAAAAAATCCCAAAAGTCCCACAAAGAAAACATGGAAAATTAAAAACAAGTTAAATGCACCTGAAAACGTTAATGAAAGGAAACAGGTGAAGCTAATTAATAAGTAGCATCAACAGCTAAAACAGTGAGCAAAAAATATAAACCACTGCAGCAGTCATTTACAAGTAATGAAATAAAGTAGTGGAGTAATGAAATAGTGAAAATGGCTGAGTGATGACATGTTAAAGGTAGAAGTCATGAGTTTCATTTGGCTGGTCTGTTTCTTGACATTTTCAACTAAGAGATAATTTAAAATAGCTAAAAGGAAAAACTAATTGTTTGAGCTCATGAAAAAATTTAAAGTAAATATTTAAAACAGTTCAAGAAATGCCTTTAATGAGTTAGCTGAAGATAACGAACACAGCTCCAGTGAAACGGACGAGCAGTTTGCATCGTTTGATATTAAGGATATGGAAACTAAACTGTTTGCTAAAAGCAGTGGAGGTAGTTTCCCTCAGTTTATCATAGACTCACCGGAGCTCCTGGTCCTGATGCTGAGCGGGTCTGTGAGCTCACAGCTGTGAGGCTCTGCAGGACCAACAGCGTCTGAAACCATCACAAATCATTTCCCACCACAACCAACAATCAGCGCACATTGAACGGTAATCGCTGCTCCGGCTGTGCCAAAGCGACGATAACACGGCGCCGCCGAGGAAATGTCAGTTTGTCCTGCTTCTGCATTGACGCTCAATAACCGAGACGCTGACAGCAGCTATGAGAAACGTCGCAGCGACAAAATTCTGGGAATAAAGCAGCTCCACTGCATGACTCAATCATCGGTGTTTGCTCTGAGAACAACTGAAGCGTCTCAATTATTCAGCCGACTCTCAGTCGGCTTCCAGATCCGTCTGTGGAGTTTGTTTTTATGTAAATCAAAGAGGAGAAAAAGAAGAAGAAGTTCTTTTAAGAAAGGTCATCCTTCCTTTCTGGTTTATTTGTCATTACATTTGAACATGTCTTTATTTGCACTATGTACACGTTGCCTTCACACAAGATAGGAAAAAAAAAGAAACCTGCAAACGGAACAAAACCAAACAGTCATCTTCTGCAACTCGGCTTAAGAGCACGACACAAACAGATCACCACCACCCTGGCATGAGGAAGGCATTCGGCTAAAGCGTCTGGATGTCGTCACAATGAGAGGAAAACAACGACGGCGGTAAACTCACGTCGGAACACGTTGCACGATACCAGGTCGCCAAAGAGAGAAGAAGAAACACAGCATTTGAATGACACGCTACAAAAACACCAAGCATCATTTTCAGCGGGTGGAACTCTCCCCGAGCGATGGAGGCGGACTGTCGCTATAGTTACAGTGATGGTGGCGACACACTGGGAGTCGGCGGCTCATGAGCTGCTGCTGGGACGAGAGGTCGGAGGCTGGAGTAGCAAACATGTACAGTATGATAACATGAGATGAGCAGAAGGTCAGCGAGGTGACGCTGTGGCGCCCATCAATCGACTCTTTTCCTGAAACATGAAATCAAAGCGGACTCTCGTCTGGTCCGACTCTAAACCTCCTCTCATGGAGAACTTCGCTCTTCATTAGCAGCCGCCTGCTTTTCTGCTTTTACATTTGTCACGAGGATTGTTTACTTGCAGGTTTTGACACCGAAAGCGGCTTATTAGTGAAATGAATGTGGTTGTGCTATTTTTGGGCTGAGCTCCAGAGAATACGCACGCCTTCAGAAAAAGCCATTACGGGGAGCTAATTGTGCACCATAACTGTCAGGTATGACTAATGCAGCCACGCGTGTTTCGCTGCCTCTCGAGGCTTCACGGCTTGGAGCAGCATCCGCCCGCCTCGTAGCTGACGGTATAAAAACACAAGCTAGCACACAGGTATTCAATAAGAAGCCCTTCATATAAGATCTCTGTGCAGGACGAGACGTGTGAATGTGCTCTGGTTCGTTAGCCGGAGGAATGTGGGCCAAAGTATTGTGCAAAAAATAAAAAAAAAGAAGAGCTCCTTCGCAGCCAGATCAATTTTAATTTAAGCTGTTTTATGATCTGACAAAAACACGTTCAAAGTCCGATCAATCATGCGCGGCGGTAGCGCTACGCGCCGCTATAGCTGGAGTCATGCAAAGAATAATGGATCAGCTGGATGCTGCCGGGCCGCCACACTCTGGCTGTTTGTGCAGCTCTGGAGGATGTGCAGGGCGTCGCCTGTAATGACATCATCCACCTGATCTACACCTCCTCACCCCTCACAGGCTTCATCTCACTCCGGTGCGTTTAGTTTTTAATCTGAATTTGTGACCAGCTCACGTCTGTGCTTCTGCTTCAGAGTCTGTCCGTAAGCGACGCTCATGACGATGCCTTCGGACAGCCGGGAACACAAAGAGACAAACATGGATAAAAAACAAGCACATCTGCATGTATGGAGGCAAACCGGACCTGCTCGGGCAGATCCACAGAGTTCTCAGGGAACCTTCACCGACAAACTTCAGGCCCGGTTGAGATTCTGGTGTTCATGCCGGAGTGAATAACTCAGTCAGAGAGAAGCAGCTGCTGGTCCTGGTGCTGTTTGATCATCCAGGACAGTCTTTGGATGAATCTTAGTTCCTCATTGTTCCTCGTTCCTCTGGATACAGAACCCTCCTCTGTCAGGGTTTAACAAACTATGCATGTGGTTTGTGTGTTTTTTTAATCTCGTTTGATCGCGGTGATGACGGCTCGGTTCAGACGGCTCGGTTCAGACGACGGACTGACAGAAAGGCTCCGATGTTACAGCAACAGCTCAGAGTTTGAGTTCCAGCTTCGTCAGCCTCGGTGAGTTAATGACGACGAGTTAGTGGGTCAGTTTGTTCTCTCCAGAGTTTCTCGTGGAAACGAAGAGGAAGAAGCCAGCATGGGTTGAAGTTAAGCAAAGAACTGGGCTCCAGCATGGATCCTTCCATTACTCAAACCCTCCGCCTCAACGAAAGAAAAAACAGAACAAGGAAAGTTTCTCTATCCCCAATCCCTCTGTCCTCGCCCTCCAGCTTGACCTCTGTCCCGTCACTGTGGCTAATCTGGGCTGACGGAGGGCCTGTAGGGAGAGAGGAGGCTGGAAAGAAAGGAAGGTGGAGCTGGAGGGGAAAATAAAACTGTACACTCCCGGAAAAAAACTTTTCCTCCAAGTCTGCAGGAGCAGCGCCGCTCCCCAGAGGGGGCTGTTTCCTCTGCCTGGGCTCCCCGGAGGCCTTCGGGAAGGAAAGGTGCGACCGCTATATGTGTCCTGGTTTCGAGAGGTAGGCGATGAGCGCTACCACCACCCCCACATAGACGCCGGTGCCTATAGTGATGGAGAGGGCGGCGAGGAACAGAGCCCGTCGGGAGGCGATGTTGGCCAGAGGGAAGTCGCCTTTGTTCACCGCCTTGGTGGTCTGCAGGAGACAAGAAGAAGAAGTTAGGAGTCAGGAGACAGACAGAGAGTTAGAACGGTTGTTTGTTACAGGAATCAGCTCATCACGCATGTCAGCACTGAAAAATGGCAATTAGTGTGAAATGTCAAGGACTGGAGGTTGTGGTGACGTCAGGCAGGAGATGATGAACGACACGCTGGAAACACAGATTTATCATAATTAGTCCTTCAGTTTAATAAAAAAGGCTCAGTATGTGTGTTTTTATCATTACTGGATGCTTTAAAGTAATAAACCAGCTATAAAGCAGGTTATTTATGAGCCGCTGTTGTACGGAGGGCTAGCAGCGAACCAGCGCCGCCGTGACCCAGTTAAGGCTCTGGTGTGTTTCTGCATCCCAGTATGGACGCGTATAGATCCTGGCTGTGGCGCCGTGGCCGCTGCACGGAGAGGAAGTAGCCGCAGCAAAACAAACAAACAAACAAACAAACAAACATCCAGTGACTCTCAGTAAACAACACAAACTGCTTCTCTCCAGTCAAACCAGAATCCTGAAATGATAAAAGTTCTGCCCTCTGACAGAGTGTTTTGCTTTCATCACTCCTCCGTCCAGACCGGACCAGAACCCGGCTGCTGTTTTTAATCATCCAGCTGACCGTCTCGAGTCAGGCTCATCAGCGAGCCCACCGAGTCGCCGTGTTTCTCCTGCAGCCTCGTTATGCCGGCGGCCCTTTGGCCTGCCGGCTCTGCCCTCTGATCACCGCCTTAGAAACTGTTGTTGCTTACAAAAGGCACAAAGTCGCAGCTTTGAGGCCGTCAGGACCGAAACCAGCCGGCTGAGGACTCAATGCTGCTTCATGTTACTGCTCTGACCTGAAGGCTGATGCAGGACTACATGAGATATCTGCAGGTAGAACAGTTCAGGAGCTCATTTAAACAAGTCGGCTGTGGTGTGATTTGTGAAGAACGAGCTGCAGCACTGATTTGTTGCTGTTGGCATGAACCTGAGGTTGTATGAACGTTCCATGTGTGTTTAAGCTGCACTGATCTTTGTTGTTTACGGTAGAAGCAGGAAAACACAACGACCTAAAAACGTGACGACACAAGTCTTGATTCATACGTTAGCGTTTG